AAAGGACCTCGAATGGGAGACTTTCAGACATCACTCAGTCTACAAAGCGTGTTTCTGTCCGCCTCACCCTTCCCAAATAGGTGGGGTAGGAATGAGGAGGGGGCTCCCTGCATCAATTCCGTCTTCACCCCAGATATTCAGAAGTGATTGAGGCCGGGACAGATGGGGGTAAGGGCAGTGAGGACAGGAGAGGAACCAGGCTTGGCTTGTGCTGAGCCTTGCCTGGGATCTCCCTGGCCATGTCCCCCATTTTCTTATTTCTAAGGAGTAGGAGACAGCTGTCAGTCTGCCCATGAGAAGTGGGGCCTGGGACTTGGTGTCCTGGGGCAAAGAGTTTTAGGGAGGCCCTGTTCTCAGCTGGGGCTTCTCTCTCACCCCTGCCTGCTTCTCACCCAAGGCCTTGGTGCTCAGAGGTGGGTGGTGGGTGTTAAGGCCTCCAGGCCCAGCCAGCAGGGAGCTGGGGGAGGCCTTGACCTTGGAGGTGAGCTGGGAGTGGGGTTCCTAGAACAGCTGTGCCCCTTGCTTCTCAGCTACTGGCTCTGATCCGATTAATCCCATGGTCTCTGCTGTTCCGAGTCAAGCTGGATGTCTCTGTGTCATGTCTGTTCCCCTTCCTGGTGCTGGAGGGAATGCCCCCGGAGGAGAGGCCTACACCTTCCCTGACCTGGGCTGGGAGTCAGGACTCCTGGACTCTCTTCCTACTGACTTACAACACCACCACAGCCAAGCCTTAGCATACCTCAGTTTCCTTCTGTGTCACAAGGAAATGGCTCTGCCTTTTTTCCTGGCCTGAGGGGAGTTGGTGAAGGGGAAGCTGTGAGCCAAATACAGGGGACTCAGCTTTGGCTAGGAGTGCCAGAAGCCTGGGAGGACTAAAGCGAAAGGCATTAGGATGGCAGTCCCTGAAAACCTCAACCATCCTGCTGATGGCTGGAAATGGAAGGAACTGGCTTTCTTTCCTGACCTGGGGCTGTTGTAATCCCCATCAGAGCTTACCTTAGTCATGAGGGACCCTAAGACGCTCATCCTCCAAAGGGGCTTGGGACTTGCTCATGGGACAAGGTCATATAAGAGAGGTGCTGACCAGGGTCTCAGGTCTGCTCCCACCTACAGACATCCTGGATGCTCATAGAAGCCATTTGCAAAGGGCTGAGTGCTTCCATTGGCAGTTCATGAGGAGTCAGGCCTGGATTCAAGGTCACCCAGCATGGGAATGTTGAAGTCTTCAATCCAGCATGGAGGGAGAAGGGGCTGGCTGGGCTGGGCTGCTGTGCGAGGCCCAGAGGCAGCATGATTGGGGTCCCTGGGCCAGGCCAGTTGTGGCCAGGCTGGAGGAGGGGCTGCCTGTTTGTTGATGCTAGGCCTGGGCCCCGGCCAGGGCAAACACAGCCCCAAGGACTTTCCCACCACCTGCCGAATCTCCCAGCCCAGCCTGTGGTGGCTGGACAGTTAGCAGCCATGATGGGGCCCTGAGAGCTGCCGGACACCTTCTCCCGTAGACCAGAGGGAATGTCCATCCATGCAGCCTCATTATTGAGGGCAGCCACCTGGAGTGGAGGGTGGGGGGAAGCTTTATCTTCGCAAACTCTTACTTGTCCTTCAATGCCCAAATGGAAGATCACCTCTGAGAGCCCTGCCTGAGCCGCTGGGACGAGCCAGCTCTTCCTATACTTCTCGTGGCTGATCTTGCCACCCCCACCACACACACACCGCCCCAACCTCAGCATCTCTAAGTGATCTCTAACAGCCATCTAGACAGGGAAGCTCCTGCCAGGTTGGAAGAAAAATCCGACGGAGAAGCAAGCTGTGGGCTTGGCTCTGCCAACGGGAAAAGAAGCATGTGCCAAGACGGGGGAGAGTAGGCACTCTGGATGGAGGAAACAGCTCGGCCACAAGGAAACTCAAGTGTGAGTGTGGGATTAACAGGGGCAGGACACTTGGCCGGGAGTCGTGTTGGGAGGTTTTTAGGCCTCACAGGAGAGGATAGCTCTCACCTCCAAGTCCACAGGACCCATGCCTACAGCTCCTAACTACACTCTGACCGATTTGGTGAGTGGGACACTCCTCCTTAGACACGAGCAGGGGTTTAGTTGGCACAATACAGAGGGTAGAAGTATAGAGAGGACCCTGGCCTGGGTCCCCAGAGCTGGTGACCTCTGACTGAGGCCTGCCCTCGCAGTCCTGGTGTGCCCTCCCTCTCTCCCCTGAGATCTGGCCCCTAGCTTCTCTGGCCACTGAAGCGGCTTAATGAGCCCAGGTCACATGGCCAGAGCTACTGCCTGTGGGGAGGGCCCAAGCCCCCAGTGGTCACCCAACCAGGCCCTGACGTCAGTGGCATTAACCGTCTGCCAGGCTTGTCTAATCTCTGGTCAGTGGCCGGGCCAGGTTAGTCCCGCCAGAGCCAGAGCTGAAGGCTGTGAGGCCCTCAGGGGCACCTTGAGGTTGCAGGTCAGGCAGGGATGGTGGTGGCTGTAGGTGCCTGCAGTAAATGCCCCCTACCTACAAGATTAAGGTGTGGCCATAGTGCCGACTCTGGGCCAGTTGTCTGATCCTCTGCCCTAGACTGTGAGTCAGGCATTGGGCACCCGCTGATTCTGCTCCCTAGGGTGTAATTACACTGGTGTGGTGAGCAGGGCCACAGAGACTTGCCAGCCACGGACAGGGCAGCTTGAGGCCAGGCAGTGTCCCCAGCTCATGGGATCCAGGAATATGTGTCCTGAATCCCGGACTCTGGGGTCAGAATCATGCATGGGAGGGTACTCCCTGGAGGGTGGAGTCAAGCCCCTGCATGATGTTTGGGCTTCTCTCTGCCCCTTGCCCAGGAAGGCTGGGGAGCTTATCTCACTACCTTTCTTCCGAGACAAGATGGCTATGCGGCAGACCCCATTAGCCCACTTTTCCTAACAGCTTCCTTCCTCTCTAGCACACCACCTCCAGCTAGCTCCTCAAAGCCTCCTGTCTTCCTCCTTGCCTCTCTCCATTTAATCCTGCTGTCATTCTTCCCTGCCCCACCTCACTCCAGTAAACTGCTCGGACAGAGGGTCCTTAGTTGAGATGAGCAGGCCCAGTTCAGCCAGGCCCAAGTCCACCCAGTGGGGGTCCTAAACCATTGGCCAGAGCCCCATGCTCCCCTGAGGCCTCTGAGCAGCACCAGCGTGTCTGCCCATACATGTCCTAGGCTCCCTAACTTAGCCTGTGTCCCCTGACACAGGCTTGGGTCTGGGCACCCTCACTCTCCCCTTTTTAGCCACCCCCCAAAGCTCCACCCTCCACCTGGACATTGAGGATGCTGCCCACACGCTACCTTTTGACCAGCCCTAAGTATCCATCTGCCTCCTGGACATCTCCCCCAAGTGGTCACAGGTCTGGAAAACTCAGTCCCATCAGCGCTCCTCTGTAGTCCCAGCTTGATGGGGGCATCTCCTGCCCTCGCCTAACCACACAGATCTAGACCCTTGTCACTGAGCCCCACTTCTTGCAGATCCTGGCCCCATGGGGTGATGAGGACTTAAGTCTTCCTCATGGAGCCCATGGGTCGCTCCTCCCCCAGGCACACGCACACCGGCCCCCAGGAAAAATGTGTGTCCCTATATAGGTTTTTATGAAAATTTTTAATGATTATTTATTTTTTCCAGAAAGTTTGGAAAAATATCATTGATGATTTTATTTCCATTAAAGTCAGAAAAATAAAATCATAAATTCTGTTTAGGTATAAAATATTTAAGGTTAAAATAATGCTTTGAGTTTTAATATACCTGTCAATTATTTCAATGTTTTCTCAAGTACTTTAAGTTCTGTAAAAAAAAATTAACCGTTAATAATACATAAAACCGGGCCGGCCGAGTGGTGCGATCGTTAAGAACTGGCTTGGGACGCCAGAGGGCCCCGGTTCGGATCCCACATATGAGGGCCAGTGACACTGCCCTCCACAGCTAAGATGCTGAACAACAGCTCAACCTGGAGCTGGGCTGCCTTGAGTCTCCGGATATGGCATAGGCTGCAGCCCCTGTGGCAGTGGGTTGCCATGGGCTACCGTGTGTAGCCAGCAGCCAGCGTGAGCGGCCAGCAGCCACAGTGAGCGGCCGTCCAGAAGCCGGCGACTGATCGGCCTCGCCTGGGAAGAGCGCAATGATGGTGCCAACTTGGGCCAGTGAAGCAACGTCCTCCACAACTAGATTGAAGAACAAAAAACGACAGCAACTTGTCTGTTCCCCTTCCCCCAATTCCCCAGCGCTGTTCCCATCCCCCCAATTCCCCAATAAAAATCTTAAAAACAAAACAAAACATAAAACCATATATAGGAGTGGACGTTTTTGCCTTTGCTTCAGGGTCCAGTGTGGCAGCAACATGGCTTGGCAGGGCTGTCTTGGATCTTGTCTGTATTTAGAATTTTGTGCATCATGGGGTCCCTTTTTTTGCAATCATTTTGATTATTTAAAGTATTGCATGAATATATTTTAATCTTGATTACTGAAACTTTTGGCACCACCCCAAATTTTGCACCGAGTAATGCCTCATTTGCCTCACACTAATCCCAGCCCTACAATTATGTCTTAGCATCAAGGGCTTCCAAGACCCGTCATCCTATGGAGGAAGCCCAGGCCTTCAGGCTGGCATTTCGCATTTGCCCCACTATCGCCCCACCCCATGTTCCCCGTCCCTGCTCCTGCTCCACTGAACTCCTGTGGCCCCCAAGCCCGTGTTCCTGGGCCTTATACACTCTACTGTTCTGGCTAGAATGACCTTCCGTGTCAAAACTCCCTCTCAAACCAAGACTGCTGCAAACATTTCCCATGGCTCTTCTCCCCGTTAGTCCCCACCAAGAGGCACAAGCTGGCCCCATGCTCCCAAGAGTGCCCCCTGCCATGTCAAGTCAGGTGCCTAAGCCTGGAAGGAACCATTTTCCCACTCATGTCCAGCCCAGCACTGAGCACATCATTAATGCTCATGACTTGTGATAATTAACACTCTCCCTCTTCCCCCAAGAAAGGACAGCTGGGGCCTGATGCAAAGGTTTATTGCTGAGTCTGCATCTAGCTGAGGATGAGTGTGAATCATGCCCAGCCCTTGCTAAACAGAAGCTCCCGTCCTCGCCTGCAGCACAGGCCCCAGCCCATGGACATCAGCAAGGACTTGGTGACGGGTGAGAAGTAGGGCGCGGGGATGTGGGGACATGAACTTTTGTCCCTGACAGTTCAGGCATGGCCCTCAGTTTTTCCTGCCAGGGAATGGGCCCTGAATAGAAAGGGTGAGAGAAACTGCTGGCAGGGACAAGGGTCGCCTGGGTTTGCTTGTGACCCCACCTGAGGTAGACCCCTCTGGGCACAACCTGGGTCTCCGTCCTGTCCCAAATTCTCTTCCTGGGGCTGATCGATGGGAACCGGACTCTGCCCCCAGCCACCCTTCAGGACAGTTTGACCATTGGCCACAGCTGGTGTCAACAGTACCCTCCCTCAATAGACCATCCCTTTGACCGACCTGAATTACTGTGGGTGGGTGAGGTAGGACATGGATCTGGTGTTCAAGGACAGAGGGGTAGAGCCTGTGGGGGAAGGGGCTAGGGGGTTACTTTCAGCCTGGTATGTAGGGAGGGGTCCAGCTTGAGTCTCTCTCTGGCACTCAGGGGCTCCCAGCCTTGTCCCCACTCACTAATTCATCTATGTAGGAACTGCACAGGCCAGAGCTGGCTTGGACTTTGAACCCCTGAAGCTGCTGGGAGGGACAGTCACTGGCCACTGGGTAGACAGGTGTCAGACTTGTCACATGGAGGTGGTAAGGCTGGAACGGGCTGATGGTAAGCATCAGGCCTGCTCGGAGGAGGGATCTCTGCCTGCCCCTCTGCCCTTCATGAAACCCTGGGAGGGAGGGCTGTTTGCTGAGCCCAGACCCACCAAGGTGAGTCACGGGCCCCCTGGGGCGGGAGAGCTGCAGGAGATTGGTCAGTCGAGCACTGCTGAGTCACTGTGTGCTCCAGCTGCCCCAAGTCCTGCCTGCTCCTAGCTGGGGCTGGCTGTGTTGGGTCCTGGAGGCCAGTGCAACCAGGCCGTGAAGGGCAGTGCTAGGGTTGGGGGCACCTGGCTCTGGGAGGCCTAGGAGTCACAGGGGAGGGTCAGGGCCTCCAGGCTAGTGGGGCTCAGGGCTTTGGGTCTGTGGCTGGGAGGGCCACATGCTGGGGCCCAGAAGTCCTGGGAGGATGATAGGGTCCTATTGGCTGGAGCTCAAAGGCAGTTAGGGCTACAGGGTCTCAGGATGCACATGGGTTCAGGAACCTGGGAAAACAAGAAGGAACCTGTCAACACCCCTAGCCCACAAATAATTGAGCTTAGGCTGAAAGACATTGTGGAGCGTTTGGAAGCAGTGACACCTGGTTGGTTGGGGCCCCTCAAAGACATTAAGTGGGTGGTGGTTGTAAACCAGGGGCGGGGCCTGTCGCAGTGGGTGGAGCCTGAGGAGCCAGGATGGGGCCTGGAAGCAAAGGGGTTTGGGAGTTGGAGGTCAGGAGGTGGAGCGGGTCTGGAGAGCTGGGGGGTTGCGGGGGAACCTGGGACGTGTCTGCTGTAGTGAGGTGGGGTGGGGTGCTTGGGATGGGGCTGGGGTATGGAGACCAAGGGGCAGCGCAGGGGGCATCCGGGCTGGGAGAAGCCCACCTCAGAAGAGGCCGCAGTCTTTGAGGTTCTCCTTGATGATGATGTCGGTGACAGCGTCGAAGACAAACTTGACGTTCTGCGTGTCGGTGGCGCACGTCATGTGGGAATAAATCTCCTTCACGTCGCGTCTCATGTTGAGCTCGAGGAACTGCACTTTGATGTAGTTGCCCGCGTCCTCGTATGTGTTGGGTCCTGGCGGGGAAGCGAGCTCTCACTCCCTACCCCCAAATCCTTCAGGGCCGGAGGAACGCAGGCCGAGATCGTGGGGGCGGGTCGCCGCCTGGCGGCCGGGCCGGGAGTCTCACCGTCGTAGTCGGGGAAGCAGATGCTAAGATGCGCCTTTTTTATCTTCTCGGAAAAAACGTCCTTCTTGTTGAGGAAGAGCACGATGGACGTGGTGGCGAAGTAGCGGTGGTTGCAGATGCTGTTGAACAGGTGCAGGCTCTCGTGCATGCGGTTCTGAAGAGGGAGGAAGCTGTCGGGCACCGGGGAACAAGGGCAGCGACACCTCCCCTCTGGGCTCAGGGCACTCAGGGACTCTCCGCCGACAGCTTCAGGCCAGTCCCCCCCTCCCACGCCCAACGCCCCTCCGCGGGGCTGCGGGCTGCTTCCTCTGCTCCTTCGGACCGCTCTGGAACGAGTGCCCCTCCCAGACACCCCCCACTCCCGCAGAGCTGTCTCCTGCTCCCCGCGGGCCTTCCTCAGGCCCGGCTTGGCACTCACCACTTCGTCGTCCTCCACCAGCACCATGTCATAGGCACTCAGAGCTGCTATGAAGATGATGCAGGTCACACCCTCGAAGCAGTGGATCCACTTCTTGCGCTCCGAGCGCTGCCCGCCCACATCGAACATCCTGCGGAGCAGATGGGACCTGAACTGGCGCGTCGAGCCTCCTGGCCTCCCCTCACTCCCCAGTGCTGGCTAGGGCTCACTCAGCCAGGACAGGCGTCTGGGGCGGCCGGGACTTGCTGCGGGCGGGGTATCCGAGAACGCGAAGGGTCTCCTGTAGGGACGGGGCCACCGGCACGCGAGAGGCCTCGGAGCGGTGAGCTCGCGGGCAGGGCCCCAGAGCGGGGACACGGACTCAGGGTCGTACCGGAAGTTGAGGTCCTTGAAGGAGAACTGCGTCTCGATAATGCCGGTGGTCTTGACACGCGAGCGCAGCACGTCCTGCTCAGTGGGCACATAGCCCGGGGTTACCAGGCGCTCCAGGTCGGAGAGGTAGCTGCGGGAGACGCAGGGGTGTGGCTGGGTGGGTGGGAAGCAGCCCCGCCCGCGCCCCCACGCCCCGCCTGCGCGCTCACTAGCCGGCGGAGTCGTTGAGCTGGTACTCCGAGGCGCGATCGAAACAGGCCTGGATACCGGAGTCCTTCCACAGCCGCTGGATGATGTCGGACATCTCCTTAGGCATCGTGCCCTCCTCGATGGTGTCCGCCATGTGCATCAGCTTCCGGGCGTCGTCCTGGGGACAGGTGGGAATGGTTGGTGGTGACTGGGACTTGGGCCCAGCCCCATGCCTCGAGTCCCCAGAGGTCCGCTCAGCCCGCAGCCTCCTGGCACACCTGGCGCGCAGAATCTCCGTACTGGATGTTGAGCGTGGTCATGGCGCGCACGATGGCCAGGATGGACTGCAGCGTGTTGCCATAGATGATGGCAATGAACTCGAGGCACTCTTCCAGCGAGTACCCATCCTGGTGGATGATCCTGCGGCCGGGGAGAGCAGTGGTCAGCGTCTCGTGGTGGGGTGGGGAAGGACAGGCCCGATGCGCAAGCCTCCCTCCCCCGTCCCCAAGGCCTCCGAACCGGCAAGGGCACTCACTTCATCTGCTTGACAATGGTGCTCTTCCCGGACTCACCGGCACCTGGAAGGGAAGCCCGGCCTCAGAGCCGCGCGGATAGCACCTCCCCCGCTACCACCCTTACTTTCCCCTCAACGAGGCCTGGAAAATGGCTAGGCAGACCTAGAGCTCCAACCCAGTCCCTAGTTCCACCTGTTTTCCCCTCATCCTCCAAGGTAAGGTCCTGACACTCTGGCAGAAAAACCACGAGTTTGTAAAAGTCAAGAGTGACAGAGGAGGGCTGATGAGGAGAATCAACGACCTCAGCTGTGCTGAGAACCTCCAAGACCCTGACATACAAGTCTGTATCAGTCTGAGACGAAAATAAAGAAAACCTGGGGCGCCACCTTGTGGAGATATCTGGTACCGCACGCACGGGATTATTATGAGTCGGGTCAACCCAGCTTTTCACCTGGGGTGGGAGGGGAGTGTCTCCAAGAGGCTCAGAGGGGATTAGCGCCTTTGGGTGGGGAAGAGACAGAGCTGACAGCCTCTCTAAGCCTGCTCTCCCGAGGGTGCTGGGCACAATTAATGGGATTTCTGGCTTAGCCTCTCTGTCTTCCCCTGGCACTCTGGCTTGGTGGGTCCGCTCACATCCAGCTGCTGGACTGGACCCTGGAGAGCCTGGGTAGAGCCTGGCTGCCCTCTCAGAACAGCTTCTTCTTACCCTTGGGGAGAAGCAGTGGCCTCGAGGCACTGGACCAGCCTCATCTCCACTCACAACCATGAGACCACGGGAATGGCTTTATCTATTCCCCACTGGGCCTTAGTACCCCTCCTCACCCTTGAGCTGCTTTTCAGGTCTACCAGCAGTAAAGATCTGGAAACTGAGGGCCATTTTGTGTGGCTCTGGGTGGTCCTAGAGGCTGCCCACTCTCAGGGTGACTGTGACCCTCTCCTTCCCAAGGGAGCAGCCCTATTGTGGGGCTCCAAAGGAGGCCCCTGGTTTCTGAGCCTTGCCCAGCAGACCCCATTAGCCAAAAGCTGGAGCTTGAGGGAGCACAGCCAGAGCCAAAGTGCCTCATACCCACACCTCTATAAGAGTGGCTGGCACAAACTTCTCCGGAGGGGAGGCCGCCTGAGGCGGGCCCTCTAGAGAGTAGTTCCATGGCATACCCTGACTTGGGGAGCTAGGGTATCGCCTGTCAGGCCGGGCCTTACCTAGCCAGGGTTCCCACCCTGTTCCCTGCCCTGTTGCAGGCTCATTCTGCTCACCCCTGCTTCACACAAAGGTCACATGCCTGCCCCAGGCCTCTGACCTGGTGGCAGTGACCCCATCTGGGCCCACATCCCTACCCAGAAGCAGCAGTTTCACGGTTCGAGCATCCTTCTCAGCATCTTCTTTCAGCTTCTTTTCTAGCTCTCTTGAGTGCTTCTCCTCTGCGCTGGCCCCAGCCCCCATGGCCCTGGCAGCAGATAAAGGAACAGGTTGGTCAGTTGGCTTTTCTGGATGGAGGGATCCCCAGAGCCAGGCTCAGGCCAGCCTCTGGCCTCCCTAGACAGCCTTCTGGCACCAGGACTGGCAATCAACTGGCTCTCCACAGACCTGTACAGGCCCTGGTAGGGCTGCTTAGCGGGATTTGGGTGCTGAGGGTACCCAAGAGCCAATCAGAGACAAGGACAGGTGAATCCAGCTCAGCCCCCAGCCCTTCTAATGAGGCTGGCATAGCCCCAATCCCTCAGTTGCTGACTTTGCATCCCCTCTACCCACCCCAGCCCCCACCAACCCTCCTGGAGACAGTCCCTGGAGCAAGGAGGCATGTTTGGTAAGGTCCAGCTCAGAAACGGGAGGAAAGGGCCTCAAGCCCCAGGGGTGGGGACCATCGAGGGGTGGGGCTGACGGCAGGGAGTAGAGGGAGATGCGTGCACTCAGCACCTGCTCTATGCCCAGCACTGGGCTCAGCACTGCTCCTTATCTTGTGAGCTCACACCGCTCCTGGGGGAGGGTACCCATGCCATCAGCCCCATTGTACTGATGAGGAAGCAGAGGCTCAGAGGGCTACACAGCAGGAGGCGGTTGAGAAGGGCTGGATGACTCTGGACCAGAGTTTTATACTCTGCAGGAAATCAAGAGGCCAAGTGGCTCAGTTGGTTAAGTGCTGACTTAAGAGCGCGAGCTCTAAGCAACAGGGCCTTCGGTTCAATTCCCACATGGGCCAGTGATGCTGCACCCAAGCTGAGCTGTCACTGAGCTGCCAACAGGTGGCAGGATGGCTCAGCTGGTGTAACAACAAGACTACCTGTTCGATGGTGGCAGCTAAGACTGAACTCAGTACCTTGAGCTGAGCTGCCGCCTGGATGGCTCAGTGGATAGGATGTGCGCTCTTAACAACAAGGCTGCTGGGTTTGACTCCCGCATGGGATGGTGGCTACGCCCACCCGCAACTAAGATTGTAACACAGCACCTTGAGCTTAGAGGCCACAAGCTGCCAAGGGGAAGCCAGATGGTGACTGGAGTCCTCCACAATGAAGATTGAAGAACAACTTGGCTGATCCCCTTCCCCAATTCCCCAACACTGTTCCCCTCCCCCCAAATCCCCAATAAAATAAAATAAAATAATTTAAAAAAAGGCAAGGTGGACATTGCATTTGCGCCCTACTGAGGGCTGGATCTGACCTGAGTAGGGCTTCTACATGCCTCCATGATGCCAGTGGACTTAGATGTGCGTGCATGTCTGCTATTGTGCCAGCGTGTGTGTGTTTATCCTTTACTGGCACGAAGCAAGGCGATGACATGACGATGCATTTGTCCGTGTACACTTGTGTGTACACATGTACCTGTGTGTGCCTTTTTGTGAATGCATGTGTGTGCACCTATGTACACCTGTCTTGTACATGTGTGCATGTGCTTTTGTACATTCTCTTTATGTGCACATGTGCACTTTGCTGTGCTTGCGTGGATTACCGTGTGTGTGAATGTATAAATGCACAGACATGTGCGTCAGTGTGCACTTGCCTGTTTGTGCCTGAGCATGTGCCTGTATACATGTGTATTTATGTGTGTGCCTATATGCGTGCACACTTTCATGTGCCCTTGCCTGTTTGTATGTACTTGAGTGCAACAAGGCCTCTGACCTGCAGAGGTGGCTAGGCTCCTCCAGAGAATGTTTTGCAGGCCTGTTGTCAGCTGGGGAAACAGTCCCAGAGCAGGTCTGGCACTCTTGGGCATGGAGGGGTGGGGCTCATCTGCTCTGCTCTTGTTCTGTCCCCTGCAGGTACTCTGAGACCTGCCTAGGGGTATTTCTGGGGCATGCCTGCCTCACCTTAGGGGTCTGGGGTCTGTGTGTGGGGTTCAGGTGGGTTGGGAGTGCTGCTGAGAAGTAGTTTAATTGAGCCTGTAGTGTTGAGTTTGCAGGTTCTGGAGATTTCCCACCTCCCATCAGAAGACCCAAACCCTGGGCTCCCAAAGGCCCATCCAGGGGCCCTGAGCCTCCTGGTTTAACTACTGGAAACATGGCTGCCTTTTAATGTTCAACTCTGTTTGCAACCCAAGAGGCCACGAGGGGGTGCCAGGGCCCCAGACACTGAGCACTGAAGCTTGTCCCTAACACATGGGTGTGAATTCTGGCTTTACCTTGTCGGGGGAGGCAGATCTCTTCAGGAGCAACAGACCATTTGTGCCATTTTCAACCTTCAGGCTCCAGCCATCCTCTACCTCCACATTGTAAGTGGGCTCCAGGGGGGGTCTCTGCAGCCCTTAATTCCCAGGGGGTTGGGATGGTGCAGGAGCCCAGGTTTGTTAAACCAATGAAAACCTGGTTTCTGCTTACTGCATTTATTTTAAATGGGGCCAGTTTACTGCCTCCCAGTCCCCACCTGGCTCCTCTTGCTATCAGGTATGGCCCTAAACCCTGCTGGATCTCTGGGACTCCCCCAGCTCTTAGCTTCCCCTACCAGGGCCTGACTCATCACATTTGGCCCAGGGTACCCAGCCCCATTTCCACCTCTCTAGCAGCTCCTCACCTACCCTGGTCTCTCCACCGCTGCCCATTTGCTCATGTTGGGTCCTCTGTGGAGAGCTGGCTGGAAGGAGGCAGGAAGGATGGGCATTTTGTTGGGAATCTCAGGGTAGGGGCAGCTAGATTGTGAGGGCTGTGTCTGTGTCTTGCCAATTCTGAGTCCTTAGTGTCTGGCACCAGGCTGGACACAAAGCCAGGTGAGGAAGGAGTGTTGAAAAAAATGATCGAACAAGTCAATGAGCGAATTGTGTGTGACATGCAAAAGAGAACGTGTGGGAACTGATGGCCGGGACCCATGGAGTTTGGGGGGCAGGAGACAGGATCTGGGTGTGGCTGAATCCCCATTCTTCCTCCCCTGCCAAGGAGAAAAGCCAAAGTCCAGTCCCAGAGCCAGTGTTTATTAACAAGATGGAACCCAAGGGCGGCTGTGGCCTGGGCAGCAGAGGGCCGCCAGGAGCCCCCATCCACCTACCCAACTGCCCCGCCAGAGCTATTTACACCCATCATCTGAAGTGGTGGGCAGAAGGGAGCCCTGCGGAGCCCTTGTAGGCCCCAGGCCTCCACCATGGCCTCCTCTCCTCAGCCCTGGTTTCGGCGGGCCCCTCTGCTATTCTCCCAGCCCCTGAGTCACAGTGGCACAGAAAAAGCCAAGAGGAGGTAGAGCGGCCAGGCAGGGAGGGAAGGAGGGGCTGGAGGGGCTGCCCCACCCATGCAGGGCTCCTCTTCTCTTGTCACCAATAAATAGAGAATAAATACCCAGGAAGGGGCTGGCCTTGACGGAGGGCCCCGCTCCCGGGCAGGGGTTGGCATCCTGTGACAGCCCCTTCTTCCTTCTCTGAGTGCATCTGCGCCCCCCTCCCACCCCCAGTCTCCAAAGCAGTCCTCGTATTCATGTCTATGCCGATGGCTCAGGTTGACAGCACACATTGGCAAAGGTGTAGTCCGTGCCCCGTCCACGTGGAGCTCGCTCTCGCCCTGTGTCCTGTAGATCCCAGTGACGGCTGTCCAGCAGGTGGACTCCCAGCTGAGTCTGGGGACTGTCCAGTCCTAGCCTAACCCTGCCAACTGACTGGGCCTGAGTAGGTGGGTTCTGCTTTCTGCCGTCTCTGACCAGCACGGGTCAGTTTTGGATGCTGCTGCCGACGAGGCAGGCTATGTACAACCCACCAATAAATACTGTCTTTGCAGGGGCAGGGTGTGTATAGAATATAGATATTTTTTTATATATATATATATCTATATATCTTTTATATTAAAAGGGACAAGGGCTAGGCTGGCCCATTGGAGGGCTTAGACAGCTGGCCTCATGTGTCCGGCGGGTGGTGGCGTCGGTTCCGGGGCTTTTTCTGGTCCTGGGATTCAGGAGGCCTGGGTGCCCCTGGGGCCTCCCTGGGGCTGAGGGGCACGTGGCGCCAGTAGCCTTGGCAGTACTGGTGGATGAGGCCCACTTCTGGCTGGGCTAGCAGCTGGGCCAGCTCCTGGTACGGTGGTGTGGGGGGGCCGGCTCCTGGGGGCGGCGGGGCGCTCACAGCCGGCGGTGGGAAGAGGGCAGCATGGACAGCGTCCCGGCCCAGCACATGCAGCTGCACCCGCGTGACGACATGCTTGAAGTTGTTCTCTGTGGCTGTGCAGGAGTACAGGCCACGATCGCTGAGCTGCAGGGCACGAAGCAGCAAGCCTTGCTCTGTGCGCAGGAAACGGTCCTCTGCACGAATCTGAGGGGCAGGGAGTGGGGGCTCAGGGGCTGTGCGACCAACCTGCTGCCCCAGCCAGCTCCCAGATCACACCCCCTCTGTGGCCATCCCATGTAGGGGCACCCTGTGAAATTTCCATATAACAAAAAACACCCACAGGAAGGTTTCACATAACATCTGAATGAAGCATCCACACATATTTCCATTTCAGGAGGGGTGACCATAAGGGGATTCTGTACAATGAGAAAATTTTGGCGCGCACACACATATAGAATTTCTATTTAATGAGCATACCCAATTGGGGCTCCCTCATAAAAGCTCCATGTGAGGAGGGACTGCTCGGAAGGCGTTTCCATAAAATCAGGGCTACCCTCCAGAACTTCCATGTACTGGAGCCCACCCAAAGACGTTTCCCTACAATGAGGTACACTTCCAACGGCTACGCATACGAAGTTTTCACGGAAAGAGGCACGCCTAGCAATGGTTTCATATAATATGGAACCCCCCCCCCCCCGTTTCCATATAACTAGATTCACCCAAATGATTTCCTCGTAGGTAGGGAGTTCGGGAGTGCTTTCTTAAAACGAGGGCTGCCCCAGATTGGCTCCTATCCCACCTTTCACCCACATGGAATTTTGACTGTACAAGCGACTCCCGCATCCACAGGAAGACTGTGGGGAAAAGGAAATCACCTCGCGGCGGCGGTCACTGGGATCTCGCTGGAACAGCCACTTCACAGTGGCCTGGGGCGAGCGGGGCTGGCACTCAAGAAAGGCAGCGCTGCCTGCCACGCCATACTGCACCGACTCCACGGCATTCTTATTGGCTGTTGGACGAGAGGGCGCTGTGTGAAAGCAGCACATACAGGGACACCCACCCACAGGGGCAGGGATGAG